CCCCAAATGCTTGATTTTCAAACACAGAAAAGCATATCATCCAAGAAAGATAACAACGTTAAACAAGTCTTTCTGTCCCTTTCTATCTGGACTCAAAATATGAATATTTGCTAAGGTTGGTTTAACGTGTTTATCAATAATGATAAATACGTTGAGATGCTTCCACTCCTTACAACCATTTACAGCCAGTGCCGAATTATGCCACCTTTATGAGGCTAAAATGTTTATTCCTCCCACACACATGTATTTCCAAGGGCGGCATTAAATAATACCAGTTTTAGTACCTGAGTGGTCCCCACAGCCCACCAAAAGTCACTAAATTGTCCACTTGTGGACGATATCATCAAGGATGGCAAGCAGTGACACAGATAATGACATACCTTTTCTGTTTTCATCGACAGCGACAACTGTATACACTCAAGGTCATTGCCAAGGACGCGGGATCCCCGCCCTTGAACTCTGTGGTGACCGTCTATGTGGATGTCAAGGACGCGAACGACAACCAGCCTCTGTTTGACCCCGTGTCTTACTACAGGGAGATCTCTGAGGACGCCGAGATCTTGACCTGGCTCGTCAACGTCAGTGCTACAGACATGGATAGTGGTGAGTAGTGTGTGCTGTGTGTGTGTGTGTATGTGTGCGTATATATGTGTGTGTGTGTGTATGTGTGTGTGTGTGTGTGTGTGTGTGTGTGTGTGTTTGAGTGCGTGTGGTTTGCTAGAAGTGTGTCAGATTATTCATGTGTCTCCTCGATGTTTGTCATTAATGTCTACCTGTTTGTTGGTCTGTCTGTCCATTATGGGAGAGAGAGAGAGAGAGAGAGAGAGAGAGAGAGAGAGAGAGAGAGAAAGTGAGTATATCTCTGATATGGGTGCTCAGTGCAAAGTTTCAGACTGGCAGACTTACAGGAGCGCAAAAACAGTATTTAAAAATGTTTCCGAAGCTTTTGTCACGTAGATGTTGATAGCCAGAGGTGAATGTCTGCAACACCAGGCATTCCGTTACCGGCGTTGTGTCCCTTTGTTTATGCCAAACGGTCAACACGGCACGGAGCCAGGAGACGACACTAGGAACGATTACACCCCCGTTTAGAAATGTGTGTGTTCTGGACAGTGATCTGGATCTAATTTCTTGTCATTTTTGTTTGACCGTATTTGACCCGAATTTGGTCTTTTGGCCTGCAGTATAACATAATTGAGGGATGTTTGAAATGGAGAACGATTAAAAAAAAAAAAAAAGCCCCAACAATTCTGCCTGCAAGCGTTTCAAAATTAACCTTTGCTTGCTGGTAAGATCAGAGAGGGTCATAGACTTGTATTACAATATCATAGACAGTGAACTGTCATGGCGGCCACTCTTTGCTCTCTATAAAAAAAGTTTGCTTTGGACATGAGCACCACAGGCACCCGAATAAAGGGCAAAACGCCAGTCTCGCTGTAGTTGAGCTCGCACGGCACCCTTCACCCCCTGCCCTTCCTTTGGGTTCAAAGTGGGTCAATTGATGCTCTCCAAAATAAATCCAAATTATGCTGGAATACACTGTCTAGCTTATTATATTATAATATTGTTCCTAGCAGTAGAAAGGGTGTAGGAATTTAATACGCCTGATAGGTTAACCAGAAGTGAATACCTTTGCCATCGATTTGCACAGTGACGCGTTGGTCCGTATCGGTTTACACTATTTGTTTTGTGGTGTAGTATGACCGTACCTATGAGCATCACTAAAGGGTTTCATGCTTGCACTTTGAAGCTCTTTTTAAACTTAGCATTGGCAACGGAATTCGGGGTTTGGGTACTTAAATGCTTCCCAATTCCGGTCCAGTATTCAAATTTTAAGCTTTTCCCCTCTGACTAACTACCATAACATAAAAAAGGATAACTTGAATGAAGAAACTGGGTGTTTAGAATAAGCACCAAATCAAATGTCGGTGTTTGCACAAAAGAAGCTTTAATAACTGGTCCAAATAACGAAATCAAACGATGTTGACATATTATAAGAATGGACAAGGTCGTGCGGTAGGCAGAAAGGAGCTCCTACAATATGTCCAGCTTTTTAGCTAATGCCTTGGACAATTTTAACGCATTTCGTACCGCGCACGGGGGATTTCCAAATCTGTGTGCGCGGCACGAAATGTGTTAAAAATGTAGCGCGACTAAGATTTGTCTCGCCATTTTGAATCTCTTTTCCGTCACGTTTTCCCTTATCATGGGGACAGAACCCTTCTTCCCACTTCTCACACCGGTGGAATGCACAAGGTAACTAGAGATGAATGAATTGCAAACAATCGCAGCGTATGCGAAAAGTTTGTGTGGGTTTGACAGGCTGTTGACCGCATTGTTTTGTTTTACGGGCTACTTGAGCCAAACGACTCGTCGGAGAAGAAGAAGAAGAAAAAGGAGAAGGAGGAGGAGGAGGAGGAGGAGGAGGGGAGAAGAAGAAGAAGAAGAAGAAGAAGAAGAAGAAGAAGAAGAAGAAGAAGAAG